ACCCGCCTTTCTGGTGCTGAAGACCCAGTACAGGCTGGGCTGCTGTTAAGGAATTCAAAATTAAATCACCAGACTATGTGTACATGGTAGATAATAGGGTTTCCTTATTACAGTAGCCTGATCTAAGTTCCTTAACAGCAGCCCAGCAGCAGTCTACATAGTTACCACTATCATGGTGTGGTCAATCATTTTGAAGTCGAGTTGAGGCAGCCTATAGTAGATAATACAAGGAATCCAGACCCATAATGTTGGTAACCATTCAGGCCCCCAGAACATCTACTCCCACCTCTATTCCGTCCTCTCTCCCTCAAGCACCAGCAAGTGAAGTCTCTGAGTTCCGTGCTCCGCGCGCAAGCAGCGCGTAATGATCTCTCATCCCACTGGCCATACCCTCCAAGTCCTGCAAACGCCATATGAGGGGGCTTGGGCTTTGAGTTTGGGATTTGCGGCTGTGGGTCTAGGATTTGGACTTTTGGGTCTAGGGCTTGGGACTTGGGGCTTCGGGTTCTTGAAGGGTCCCCATTTCCAGGATCCGACGGTCTTGTTGTTTATGAAGAGACTGTACTTTGGCATGGAATCTGTTGTCCTTTTCACGGTTGCGGGCAGTCTGTGTCCCATCCTGTCTAGCGGAGGGTTGTCGTTTCATGACTCTTTGGCGTGTGCACCCTTGCCTGCAGCAACAGCAATCATCAAAGGACTGCTGCTGCAGGGATACGTTGCCATGGGCACCGCAGGGATACTGTGGGGTAGGGCACTGCAGGGATACTCTGCTGTTGGGCGCTGTAGGAACACTCTGCGGTTGCGGTTGGTCACTGCAGGGATACTCTGCAGTTGGGCACTGCAGCGACACTCTGCAGTTAAGCAGCGCAGGGATACTCAGCGGTTGGGCGCTGCAGGGATACTTGGTGGTTGGGCACTGCAAGGATACTTGGTGGTTGGGCACTGCGCGGGATACTCGGTGGTTGGGCATTGCAGTGATACTTGGTAGTTGGGCACTGCAGGGATACTTTGCCATGGAGCACTGCACTCAGGCTCCGCGCGGAGGGCGCGGACAACATAGACTTTTAACATCTAACAACCCCACTGCAAGGGTGGGGAGAAACATGCACATAAAACCTAAAACAAGCCAATAAAGCTATCATTCTACAGACTGCTGGGTTCAAGGCACGAATTACTGCCTCTATATATATATACACTTCCTCAATCATGCCCAAACATACCCGAAATAATCCCTCAGCAGCACGTACATAATCTTCCTTGGGAGAAGAGGATACCAAACTCTACTCTGCACGAAGTCCTAAACCCTGCAACCTCCTCCTTCACCCAAAACCCTAAAACCCTAAACTCTAAGCCCTGCATGTACTCAACCCTAAGACCCTAAACCAAAACCTAGACCCCCAAACTCTAAACCCTAAACCCCAAACCCTAAACCCCAAGCCCTAAACCCTGAACCCCAAACCCTAAACCCCAAACCCTAAACCCACACTCGCCGAGCCACAGCTTCAGTGATCTGCTGGAGCAGGTCAGGGATGGAAAGGCAGCGACCTGCTGTCGGGGTACCACCGGGATCCTAGGTTGGGGGTTCGGGGTTTAGGGTTTCAAAGGGGTGGTTCTGGGGTTTAGGGTTTAGGGTTTAAAGGGGTTTGGGGTTGAGGGTTTAGGGTTCAGGGTTTAGGTCTTGAAGAGATTTAGGGATTAGGATTTGATAGGGTTTACAAAAAGGTTTTGGGTTAAGGGTTTAAGGTTCAGGGTCTAGGGTTTAAAGAGGGTTCAGGGTTTCAGGGGAGGTTTACGGTTTATGGTATGTAGGGATTTAGGGATTCGGGTGCAGGGTTTAGGGTTTAAAAGGGTTTAAAGGATTTGGGGTTTAGGGTTTAAAAGGGCTTAGGGATAGGGTTCAGGGCTCGAAGGGGGTTTAGGGTTTTAAGGGGGTTATGGTTTGGGGTTTAGAAGGGTTGAGGCTTTAAAGGGTTCAGGGATTAGAGGATTAGGGTTCAGGGTTAAAGGGGTTTAGGATCTAAGGTTTAGGGTTCAAAAGGGCGTGGGGGTTAGGGTCCAAGGTTGAGGGTTCAAAGGGGGTTTAGGGTTTCAAGGAATTTTTATGGTTTAGGGTTTAAAAGCGGTTGAGGGTTGAGAGGAGTTAGGGAATAGGGCTCAGGGTTTAGGGTTAAAAGGGATTAAAGGGTTTGAGGGAATGCTACCCCAACAGCGGAGACAAATGGAACATGAATTGGGCTCTGGGATGATGTAAGTTAAGGTTTTAGGGTTTAGGGTTTAGGGTACTTCTTAGGGTTTGAGGTTTACGGTTTAGGGTAATTTCTGCTCTGTGTAGCCCTACTCTCTAGGTTCTATATCCTAAAGCCGAAGACACAAATCCGGTTTCCTAAGCCTTGAACTCCAAATCCTGAACCCTAAGCACAATGCTGGGATCGCACTGAAGAGTAAAGGTTGCATCCTGCAAGCTATCAAAGTTGTGGAGCGTAAAGGGACAGTGATGGAGGGCATAGAAGTTAATTTTGGGCAATTTGGCAGGGATAATTACTGTACTCATAGTTCCATGTAATACATAAAGTCCTAAACCCCAAACCCTGAACCTGGGTAGGGATGATTACATAGGTCCATTCCCCCGCCCCTCTTTAACACTTGTCTTTCATGGGCCTAGCCGATGCATGCAGCATTACGCAATGTTAAGAGTCAAGGGTACAGCGTTGACTTGCCTTAAAGCCTGGGGACATGTAAGGTCAAGTTTTGGGGTTAAGAGCAGGGTTTAAGCCCGCAACTAAGCCACTGCCTCAAACTATGATCCCGGATCAGGTCTTGAGCTCCAAGCAGCAAACCCTATCATTTGTTGATTTATTCATAGCTCAGTGGACATGAAGAGAGAGAGAGAGAGAGAGGGCAGCTCATGCTCCCGAAGGGAGTGTTCCTGAATTTGGGGGCCATAGTCCAAAAAGGCAGTTCCCAACGCCCTCGTGATTGGAGACCCAATACTTGAATACTTGAGAAAATATGTATATATATATGAGCCCGATAC